CCCCTCCCCTTTCTCTCCTTGTCTCGGCTTGAGACCAGGTCTTCAGATCCCACCTTCATCACATCTGAAGAGCACTTCGACTTCTCAGCGACTTCCACGTCGTCGACTCTCTTCGCCACGTCTGTCGGCAGGAACGTTATCACGCGCACTAGCTGCATCTAGCTTGCTAATCGATTGCAACCCGTCAGCATCCATCATGGCTCTCTTCTCGCGCCTGAAGCTATTGGCCCTCGCCGCTCTGCTGGTGGCGGCGTGGATGCCCTCAGCCACCATGGCCCACACCACCACTGCCCCTCCTGCTGCTGTTGATGGAGCTGCCGACGATGGTCTAACAACTGTGGGTGACCAGCTGCAGCGAGATGAGGACGTCCTGGGGGATGAGCAGGTGGCTGAGCCTTTGCAGTCGTCGGGCGGCCTTCGTGGCCTGAAGCCACAGTTGTGCTTGGCGGACTATTCGACCAGACAGTGCAAGTGGGACTCTCAGTGCTGCTCACACAAGTAAGCAACGGACGGGAGGGAGAGCAATGGTATGCATTTGTTGATGGTTGTGTCTGCATGTGTTTTCTTGATCCATGCAGTTGTGTGAACGGTGGGTGCCGGGCGGCTGGTGATCTGCAGCGACACGGCCATGAGTGCCGGGACCACACCGACTGCCACTCGCACTACTGCATGAGAACACGCCCCTTTGACAAACACGGCATCTGTAAGCCTAACACATACACGTGATCAGGGAGGGGGCAATGTGCCCACTGTGCGCGCTGCTTTGTGTGGTGTGTGCAGGCAAGGAGAGGGACCACCATGACCATCCCCACGAGCATCCTCACGAGCACGATTATCACGAGGAGCCTCACAACGAGCACCATGGCGATGACAACGAGCACCATGGCGATGACCGTCATGACAACGGCCACGTCGAGGACCCTGATGACGAGTTCGTTGACGACCATTTCTACTACTACCATTATGTGACCGCCTCCGTGATAGTCATGGTGGCCGCCATGGCGATCGTCCTTGTGGCCACCATCGCGATTAGGGCGAGTGCAAGCACAAACGGAGGACTGCAGGCACGGCTACTTTGGGTGGACAAGAGTATTGACGCCAACACAGACGACACTGCGAATGATGTAAGTGGACGAACACGCGCTGTCCGTCTGACGCATCGACACATGTGTCAATGTCTGTATGTGTGACTCCTTCAGGCTGTCGCAATGTCAGAGGGGCCGCAAGTGTGAGTAGCCTTCCATTGCTGGGAGGGGCGCCCTGACCACACAGATACGACGACATGTCGTACTGTCGTGTGCGTTCACAGAGTTTGCACAGCCGTTTGTCGTGTGTCGTGTGTCCTTCCTTCCCACGGCTAGTGTCTCATGCATTGTGCGTTGTGACTGTACTGTCCTGTGTGAATAAATAAGGAGAGGGGGCGGAGACGCCTGCCTGCATGAGTGGTGGCTCGTACATGCAGTGAGTGTACAGTGGCTGTTGTTGGTTTTGCAGTCTAACACAGAGTGGTTCTCTGTCTGTCTGTCTGTCTGTCTGTCTGTCTGCAATCTCAAGTAATGCATTTGAGAGCTGCATGAGGTGTGGCTGGGGTGGCGTGGTGTTGCATTCATGCCCACCAGGCGCACACGCCAATCACACGAGGGGGGCCATTCATCTGACCTCGATGCTTGCATGCCTTTGTTGTTGTGCAGTGCGTGTGGTGCGTGTTGAGTGTTGAGTGTTGGGTAGTGCCCTGAATGTGCTGAGATGTACCTGGTCTGACCTGATTGACCTGGTCTGAGTGGGGCGGGTGCATGTGTGTGTCGATATTGTTTGCTCTCAAAGAGAGATTGATGTGGCGTGATATGGCATGGCGTAGTGTGGTGGATTGGCGTACTGTGTAAGTAACACCATTTGTCGCTGTGGATAGCGTGTGGGTGGGGTTTAGGTCCTGCCAGTGTGTATGTGTGTGAACACGATGGTTCAACAATGGATCTGTCTGTCCCAGTCTATTCACCCGACGGACACACAGCTTTCACCGTACGATCACACACAAGCAGCCAGACGTGAGGATAATCGACCCGCTCAAAAGCAACAGCCAGTCACTCCGACGGAAAGACAGACGAGACAGATGCGGCACGGGCTTGGCATCTATTACCCCGCATCTATCCAGTGGCTGGCTTGCGCTGGATCCGCCACAACCGTGTCAAATATGGTCGGCGGGAGTGAAAAAGCCGCCGAAGTGGGCGCGGCGAGAATCGCGGCAGTCTCGAGACCTTCGGAAAAATTAACAACAAACGGAGCCTTCTCATTCTCACTGCTGGCCGGGTAGCTCCTTGGTTTCTTCTCACCTTTCGGTGGAAACCTGCCCGAGGCCCACGCAGCCCCCTCTCCTCTAGCCCACTCAGCCAGAATCCCGCCTTCCAGCCACTCGGACCGTCCCCGAGGTACATGTCCGGGCCCCGGGTACACACGATGATGAAAGAAGTGCTCCTTTGGGATGCCATCAGACTTGTCCGAGGCTATGAAGAGGAAGGCTTATCTGAGGACTGCTGCTTCTTCTGCCTTCAGATGACAAACTTGGTCCGTCACTCTCTGTGTACTGGTTGTGCACAGAATCTGGTGTTGGCCGTGTCGTTTTTGCCAAGGCTGCTACATTCAACACTTCCCGGTCTGACACGGACCAAGCCGACAAGAGCGAGACGCCACAGTAAGGACAAGGGGAATACAGGAAGAGCTCAGCGAGTGAGTGGCCGCCGAGCGTCGAGATGGAGAAGGGTCGGTAGGAGAGTGTAGTCGTCTCGTTGTTATCTGCACCCTGTGTGGATTGTGTGTGCGGATCGGTGCAGGCTCCCCGAACGAGAGCTTCTTTGACGTGTGACAGCGCCCTTCGCTACCATCCCGTCACCGCTGAGGAAGAGGAGACAACAACAGCATGCCGCCGAGCATACTAGTCGCGCAAGCGCCATTGATGCCGAATTGGCACTGTGGACCTCATGTCCACGCAGGAGCGGCACCCGTCCATCATCATCCGCCGCCATTTCATCCCAATGCCGTGCCGAGTATGCCCCCGTGGCCGACCCTCCCGCCAATGCCCCGAAGGCCACTGCTTACGTCGGCCGCCAAGCACCGAGAGGCAGCCCCATCGCCACCACCCCGGCACATGTTCCCGCCTCAGCGAAAGAACCCATTCAAGGGCTGCTACCCGCCGTGTATCAAGACCTTCATCGAGTCCTTCGGTGGGCGGGGTGGTAAGGAAATTCCTCCTCCGGCCGTGCCGCTCATCGGACCCCAGCTGCCGCTGCAATCACCACCCGTCTTCCATCATGTGCACTACGCGGCAGCACAGCTGGCGCCTGCGGCCGTGGGGAGCCCTGCCTCCGTGACGGGACAGTGGCAGGGACGTCTTCACGCGCATGTCAACTCGTCCAATTGCTAAGTAAGCAAAACATACACAGCGTAATCGCTATCTCTGTTTCTCTCTATGCAGAGTTTCACGGCCACGATCTGGCCAGCAAACACCAGCTGCAGCCGGCAGCCGCCCTTGCGGTGTACCAACGCAACTACGGCAAGCCAATGCCCTGGCAGGTAGACAACCAATACCCGACGCATTCACCCGTAACCATTTGGGTGTCTGTGGCGTGTTGTGTGCAGGCCTTCAATCGGTGTCTACATTTTATATCCTGTCGACCTCTTGTCTCTTTGCCCGCGACCCAACGTAAGCATCAAAGCAAGCTGATCGATCCGTCCGCTCATCTCCCACTGTGTCTCTGTGCATATGGCTGCGTACATTCTGTATTGAAGGCCGTGTCTCGCTCAAGGGGTCCTGTCCACCGCCCTCTCATGCCTGCAATTCATTCCCTCCCTCGCCGACCGCCCAGCCAACATCAGCCTGCAGCCTCTCATCGACGAAGTGCACGCCCTGATCGCATCGACATACGCCCACTGAGGGGCGGGGGACGTTGTGCATCGCAGGGAGGGACGAGATGCGGCTGTGGATGGTGTGGTGGAGAAGCGTACATTTGTGACTGCATGATTCAAGACAGGGGGTGGGGCTGTGCGTGGATGACGTGAATGCCGTGGGAGAGACGTTGGTCGACGTTGGTAGTGACACGAGAGTCTCGGGGTGTACGCGCTGGTTGATGTGAATCGAATACAAAACGCACTGAGGTCCACACGAACACATCACACACACACACCAACCGACAGGGTCCATACGTGCATGCACCACGCGTGTGTGTGTTGGGGGTGAGAGTGGTGAGCATGGCGTACCCAGGTCAAACGGCGGATGGAGGTAGTGAAGCACAGCTCACAGTCCACCGTTTGCCAACCACACAATCACACAACCTAACCTACACCAAGACCACACAACACAACACAGCGACATGAGCCACAGAGCCGTAAGACAGAGGCGTGGTGGTGAGTGAGAATGTGGTGGGTTGTGTACCGTGGTTAGGGTGTGTGCGGACCGAAGTGATACCGACACAACAGGTACCCAAACACGACAACCAAGACACGCTGAACAACAACACACCCATAGAGAGAGAGAGAGGGTGATATGTGGGTGTGTGAGGTGAGATAGACGTGTTGCGTACCCAGGCGGTGTGTGGTCTGTCCTGTGAGACAGCCACAGCAGGTACCGCCGTGTGGTGTGTCCAAAACCGACACGAACAACCTCAGTTACTGAACGGACACAAGAATGATAGATCTGGACAGATGCAGGCAACGACAGTGACGGTGTGTGTGTGGTGCACCTCGAGGGAGTGTACCGACACCAAGTCAGATGACATGCACCGCGTGAACGTGCCTTCCCACTGCCAAGGAAAAAGTGAACACACAGAAACGGGTGAAAGCATGAAATGTGTGCCATGGTCTAGGCATACCGATTTGGTGGGTTGGCAGTCCCTCTGGACGGTGCGAATTGCGGCCACTCGCTCTCAAACGACACATGGTAGAATGTGCGTGAGAGAGCGAAGTAGGTCCGTAAAACACACATCCGGTGGGTCCAGGGCGATCTACTTAAGTCGGCCATAAAAGGGGCCCAAGAAGGATGACATACATGTAAGAGGCCAAATCAGGTTAGTGAGTACAAAGGTGATGAGTCAGTCCATATATATCGTTGATTCATGTTGGGTCCATGTGTGTGTGCGTCGCTACTTAAACGAACAGGCAGCGAGTCAGTCTAGTGGCCCTGCCTATCGGTCAGCTGCCTTGACAGGGGCGACAGGTCGACGGGGGGTTTGTGGTGGTTAGCCGACGAGCAAACAACAACAGAGACAGCAGCAGCAAGACCAGCCAGTCTGAGGAGGAGCCACGTCTGTGGAGGGCTTCGGACACTCTGCCGCTGGTCTCTTTGCGGAGGGGGGAAGGCTCTCTACGCTGCTGGTGGTGCGGACTGTCATTACGAGGGTCAAGCCATGGAGGTGAAGGGCGAAGGAGTCCTGAGTGAGGCTCCCTGACGACCGCACTCAGCCGGCAGGCTCATTCGACCGCTTCTTCTCCCATCAGCAGTAAGACACGATTGTCATCCGGCTGCCACGGCTTATCCCGACGCTCTACGACATGGGCGAGGCGGTCTGGGTCATCGAGGACTTCCTTGATGCAATAGGAGACATGCAATAGGAGACATGCTACGTGCACAGGTGAAGAGAGAAAGAGAGATGCACATGGACTGAGAGTCGATGTTCCCTTCTGTTCTCTTTCAGTGCGGCCTTTCATCGCTGCGTACATTTTATATCCCGGCCGATTCATGTTTTGTTTGAGGACGCACTGGAATCTGCAGAGGACCACTCGTGCATGTAGAGGTGACCAAATGAGAGCACAGCCAGGTGTTAGATGCTGTGATACGAAGGCGTGTATGAATGAGTGATTTTTTGCGAATACATCGCCTGTTTGTTTTGTTTTGTGTGTGTGATATGCAGCGTATTGGCGGGGGCATGCTGAGGAGAGTGACGAGGACCGGGCCGCACCCACTGCCTGTTCGGTAAGTCAGTCAGTCAGCCATTAGAAATGCATACATCCAAACCTAGTGTTGTCTTTTGTATGTCTGGGCTGCATGCAGACACCGGACGGGCCTCCACTCAGGGCGTGACTCAGTTCAGCACCAGCCTTACCTCACACTGGCGGATGCTGTGGGAGACGGCCAACGACGCCAGGCACAACCAGTGCACGTCGTCGACAGCTACCCCCACCCTAGACACCACCCAGGCGGCAGCAGCGTCGCAAGCGGCCAACGTGACCACCAAGACAACCGACCCAGCTGTCGAGGCCATCGACCACAGCGACGCTCACACAAGTACGTACGCTAGTGAAGGGACCCTCACAACATGGCAGACGCCCGCCTTATCTTTCTGCACGTATTCATGTATGTTTATCCAGTTCCTCGGCTGGCGAGATTGACGAGCAACATGGGTCACAGCGTGTCCGCCGTGTCGTCACCCTCCGATGCAGCGCAGCCCTTGCCGCCAAGCACGTCTCCCCAGCTGCCATTCTCAGCCCGTCGCAGCTCCGTCCTCTACCGCCTCACGCCACGGCAGGTGTACGAGGGGCTCCAAGCATTCAATCGGCAAAGATCGGCCACATACGAGTGCATCGGGGGCCGCCGCTATCCTCATCCGCAGACACACACAACCAAGGGCCAGCACACGGCAGCCAGGGTGGTGGCGCATGCGGCTGTGTCGCCCGTGCCGGCTGCTGATGCTACGGCTGCCGGAGGCGATCGTGGCGACAATGAGATTGCCCTGCCGCCCCCAACAGCCGATGTCTTGGCGGAGGAGGGCGACCACACGGTCGCACCGCAGGCCCACCCATCCGACTCGGCCTCGCCCGCGCCAGACCACGAGCAGGGAGACGCCGTCCGGATGCACACTAGCCATCATGATCAAACTACTCACCAAGTCAGTGAGTGACACAAGGCGCACGAATGATCCATCCATCCACCCAACCGTACATGCGTATTGTTGTATTGTTGGCGTGTGTAGGGGTCGCATGTACATGGGGGCTCTGTCACTGCTGCGCAAGTTCAAGGCCACGTATGGCATCTCCCTCAGGAGTCCCGACTCCAATGCACTCATACAGGTAACGCCCCGCCAACTTGTGCACACCGGTTTATGTCCTTATGGTCTGCATAACCGCTGAACACATCGGTGCGTTTATTTCTCCGCAGGTGTGTGCGCGTGTGTGAACGCCCACTCGCCCTTCCGCCCGCCATAGCTGAGCCCCCAATATCACTGCCTACATTTTATATCTTCATGTCTCTTCTCGCTATCGTCTCGGACCTGCCTGGAGATGTACAAGAGAGAAGAGAACAGCACTTTGGGACACAGAAGGCCATTCTCTGTCTGCAGAAAGGTTCATGTGTCTTATGTGTCAGCGATGGCTTCATCGACAAGCAGATCCGGCCGATCAAGAAAAGTCGACGCGGATCCCCGATGAGGCGAAGCGGCACGAGGGGGGCTCTACCTTCTCTCGGTGGCACGTGTGTTGGACTGGCAGCCCGGCAACAGAACCATGCACCGCCATGTCTCCATCGCCATCAGAAGCACGAACAGACGCACGCAACAGAGAGAGAGTGGCAGAGAGGGAGTGAGGGAGGCAGGGAGCAGATGGACGGATGGATGGATGGATGGATGGGTGGCTGGGTGTTGTTTCTGTGTGTGTGCGTGTTGGGTGTAGGTTGCCTGTTGTGGCGTTGCTAGCTGACGAGACTCACCACAGCGAGTAGTGAGAGGTAGGAAGTGTATGCGGTGCGGGCGGGGCCGGCCAGCCGAAAGTGCGATTCGCCACCACGTATTTGGAAAGATGGCCGAGCGGTACGCACTCACATACACACACATGGACGTAAGTGTATTGTGTGTATTGTGCGCTGTCTTGTGTATGTCGTGCATGCAGCATGGCCAAGACACTGCCTCCGATGGCCGCAAGTGACGTGACGCACACTCCCGCCATCACCATTGAGAAGCACGTGATTAAGACGATGATGGCGGAGGGGCGGGCCACCGAGACAGTGGCCGCAGAGGCCACGTCATTATTCAAATAATGGAATATTAACATGCAAAACAGAGGCAGATAGACAGACAGACGGACAGACAGACAGGAACAGGCATTTCCTCGCCGTTTGGCCGACTGTCGACACGACGCTAGGCATTATGGATGGATGGATGGTGTGGCACACATGAGTACTTTACGTGGATGGGTGGTCAGTGGCAACAGGTCACGTGATGGATGTACTTTACGCATGTGCCTCTCGTCGGTCTCTTATTCCGTCTCATCCCCCACCCCACCCCGTCCCGCCACGGCACACACCGACATCCACACAGTCACTTGCTGTCAACAAAAAGTAACCAGATCAGAGCATCAACTCAGACAATGAGCACTCAGGTCAGGTCACATCAGGTCAGGGCTCGGTGGACAAGCGACTCACCCACACGAGTCCCTAATGGATACCGACGGCTGCCGAGCCACACACACACTCCTACACACACACAGAGAGAGAAACAACAAAACCGGCCCCCCGGCGTCATTCACATGGAGTCACACACGACACGCACACACACCACACTCATGATATGAACCCGGTGTTCCTCTGCCCCTGTTCCCTTCCCCGCCGGTGTCATTCACATGAAGGTGTCACACAGGAAAAGCACAGCACACACCACACCAAACGCCAGTCGACTATGCAGTGCAGACACACAAACGTGCAGTGAGGCAGGCCGGCTGCTCTTGACACACACACACATACACACGCAGCACACAAACAACCACACATGTATCTTTATCAAAGAACAGTGACGCACACATCACAGGCAGACGAGTGCAGTCAGCAGCTGCTTCGGCAGCAACACTCATGATCCCTCTGCCTTTGCTGCGCACGACTGTGGTAGAAGTCGGCCGTGGCCCTGACCGCTGCAACCGCCGTCCTGACGGCGGCCTTACAGAGGCCCTGCGTGAACCCATTTGACGTGGATATTTCACACTCGGTGTTGAGGTCATCACAGAGTCTGTTGTTGCAGTAATTGGCACTGTTGCCTGACCAGAGAGAAGCAAAGAAGGCCACGGGGACGCAAAGCAGACATCTGTTGTTTTTTTCCCCGCCAACGTTTCCCCTCCTTCCAACCCAGCTTGTAGTACCAACGGTATAGTAGCAGATGAAGTGCTGTCGGCACGCGCTTCTGAAGTTGACGCTCCCAAACGAGCTCGGCACCCCAGTGGGACAACCGTTCGGCACCTACCACGGACCAACGAGCAGAATTTGTTGTCGCGTGGGCTCATTCGGCCTCTACCGGCTTTGCGATCATCCCCTATATGAATTTTATAACCGGGGTTTTTTCCCACTGGAATTCCGATGCGTGTAGGCAGCGCATGCGAGAGCTGTTTTGGTTAAGCAAAACTAGACAGCATGCTCTCGCTTTTGATCCCATTCGCATGTCGTTCGGCAGCCGAAAGGACCTGGGCGAGGTTGACGTCTTTCTCGGCCTTAAGATCGTCCGCGATCGTCAAGAAAGGACCCTGCAAATCACACAGCCACAGTACATCGACAAGACGCTCAAGAGATTCAGCATGGAGAATGCGAACCCAGTGGATTTCCCTTGTGCGTCCGGTATTCAACTGACCTCTGAGATGTCACCGAAGACGGACGAAGAGAAGACGAAGATGAAGAAGGTCCCCTATCGGCAACTCGTTGGCGCATTGATGTTCTGCTCAGTCACGTGCCGCCCGGACATCGCCTATGTGGTCAAGGAGCTTGCACGATATGCTCATGAGCCCGGTTTTGGGCATTGGCAGGCAACAAAGAGGGTTCTTCGCTATCTGAGTGGGACAAAAGACAAGGGGATCGAGTTCAAGGCTGAGCCAGGCAAGGAAGGTCGGATTGATCTGACTGCCTTCTCTGACTCGTCTTGGGCTGATTGTGTGGGTCGCAAGTCTAGTGGTGGTCATGTGGTGTTTGTGTGTGGTGGACCTGTGTATTGGAGTGCGAAGACTCAGCCACTGGTGACGCTTTCGTCAACGGAGGCTGAATACGTACAGATGAGTGAATGTGCCACTGCCCTCGTATATCTGGCGTCATTTTTGCGTGGCATACCTCTTTTTGGTGTTCGGTTTGGGAGTGCATATCTTATGGCTGATAATAGGGGAGCTATCCTGAGCGCACAGAATCCGATAGTCAGTCACAGAACGAAACACATTGACGTGCGTTATCACTACATACGTCAGCT